TAACCATAAAAACCTTTCTTGTGACATTTTAAAAAATAAATAAATAAAAATCACCAGTAAATATAAATTCAAGCTATTTCTAGCCTTGCATAAGACAAACATTGAGAATTTACAGTTCTAAGTTTTGCACAGTTTAAGCTACTTTTATTTTCTTAAAAGAATCTCCACATTGTATTAGAAAATGTGGGGTATTAGTGGAATTAATTCTTTTGGATTATTGGAAGAATGCAACTTTATTTGTGGAGAAACTTCCACATGAATTTCCACATTGAAAAATACTGCATGCCATTGGAAGGGTCCATAATGGTGTGATGAGCACCACTCCTATCATGTTGAAACTAACAGAGTTGTGAATTTAATGAATTTTAAATTGATTAAATAATTAAAAAAAAAAAAAACTTAATTGTCAAGACCACCTTAAGATACGTTGAAACGCGCTTACATAATCATAGTCAATGTTCACTGTTAGAAACGCGCTTACAGAAAATTCCATGTGGAAAACACTGCCAAAAGCTATTTAAAATTAGACCATACCGAATTTCTAATATATAAATAAGAATATACTTATCGAACTCGTCATTACAAGTCCCAATTTTCTTTATGCATTTCAAATTAGTCATGGGAAAGAATGTCATCTTTATGTTGCTGACAATGCTTTATTTTCTTATTAACATTGTTGCATCTTTTAATAGTTCTACCGATGAATATGCTCTTCTAGCCTTTCGATCTCAAGTAACTCTTGATCCAAACAAAATCCTGGCAAAAAATTGGTCGCAAGGAACCTCGTTCTGCAATTGGATTGGCATAAGTTGTGGTAAGAGACATCAAAGAGTTAGAGGCTTGAATCTTACAGATATGGGTCTAGGAGGTACTATTGCTAAAGAAATTGGCGAACTCTCTTTTCTGAGATCCTTGATTATTAGCAATAATAATTTCCACGGATTTATCCCTGACGAAATTGGTAATTTAAGCCAGCTTCGGGAAATAGAGATGCAGGAAAATGAGCTCAATGGTCATATTCCAACAAGTCTTGGATTTCTTGAAAATCTACGGAAATTAAATCTCTCCTATAACAAACTTAGCGAGGATATTCCAAACAGGATTTTCAACCTCTCTTCTCTTATTGAAATTAGTTTTAGTAACAACAGTCTCTCAGGAAATCTACCTATGGATATTTGCTACAATCTTCCTAAGCTAGAGAGACTAAGGGTTTCCTGGAATCAATTAAGTGGCAACATTCCTCCAAGATTAGGAACATGTGTGAATCTTAAAATACTAACTCTGTCGTCGAATAACTTTGCTGGAAGCATTCCAATGGAAATCGGGAATTTGTCCAAGCTTCAAGTTCTCTCTCTTGGAGGAAATTATCTGACAGGTACATTTAAAGCAATGTTAGTATAAATACATCTCCCAATTTACGAGATAGTATTTTTCAAAATATTTTAAAATAGATCAATATTGTTCTCACTTCACATCATAAAACATCTCTTACATGCATAGCGATCCGTGTGTTGATGGCCATGGATTATGCCCTTTTACATAGCTGCTCCAAAAGTTATGTATGTACTTACACCTGAAACCTCCATTGTGCGTTCTGAAACCGAAAAAATTTTGGCCTATAAATTTTTCATGCAAAAGCATGTGGAAAAGTCGACCAACAAACCTATATAAAGAATTAAGGATGTCATCACACTGTTTTAAACCAAAAAAAAAAAAAGCAATATTCAATATGACTTTTTGGTAAAATGAATAAAATCAGCTTTGAGAAATGAGTTTCAGCATGTATAGCATTTTCCAAATATTTATTAGAGATACATCGTAATAGCATCAAATCCTACGTTATTAATGTTTGGTCGGTATTTTTAGTCTTTTCATTATTATAATTGGATTTAGTTTTCTATTTTATTTTAATTTCTTTAGTTTGAGGACCTAGGATGCAATTTCGGTTAAGAAAAATCTAGATTTAAAATGGGCACATATAACAAAAGAAATTATGTTGGTGGAAAATCTAATCCCTGTTTGATCACCCTCATTTTCCTTGGAACTAGAAAATTTTTTTCATTTTCTCAAAAGTTGGCTTTTTGATAGCCAATAAATTGCCAGGAATTCATTTTCCTTTGG